TGTAAACCTCCCCATGATCAAAAAAGCCAAATGGCACCAGCCCCTGAGCCACGTGTTGATCAGGTGTGTTTTCCTGTTCCTTTCAGTATTCTTCCCTGCCACTTTAGGGATTGAGGAAAACACTACCTGTGCTCCTGACCCTTCAACCAGTCGCCCCAGTGCCCTGAAGTCCCTTTTGATTGCTTCAGGACTTCTCTCTGGAACCTCATCACTGCCAGCCTGTATAACCAACAGCGGGTAGTAGTCGGTAGACCGTACCAGACCAGGGAGCTTCCTAGTAATGTCTCTGACCCGGGCCCCAGGGAGGCAGCAGACTTCCCTGTGGGACGGGTCTGGTCGGCATATAGGGCCCTCTGTTCCCCTCAGAAGGGAATCGCCTATGACAACCACCCTCCTCTTTTTCTTAGCAGAGGCAGTCATAATGCGTGGGGCTGACTGCCTCACCCTAGGCAACCTCCTGGATGGACCTTCATCTACATCCTCGTTTGCCTGGCTCTCAAGTTCCAGGGCCCCATATCTGTTGTGTAATCTGCCTTTATGGACTCCATGAGGACCACACATTTAATTGATAGGCCTCTAATTACTCCTTTTTTTACAGAGCAAGAACTTCATTCAGACCAAGGCATAGCTGTTAGTTTTCTTCAGTTTGTTTCTGCAGGTCTTTGGTACCTCCAGCTCTGTGTGTGTTTGTTCATCCATTCATTTATGTTCTCTCTCAATCTGACGATCAATAAGTGATCAAAGATTTTATAGCAGACATCTAGAAGATTTATGTAGAATAAAGACATCACAGACAAAACCCATCATAGGACAATGAATATATAATACACATTCCAACTTACTACCCTATTTGCCTTTTCATATTTAAGATGCTAGCATGGATTGTACCTTTTCAGAGGTTAGTACTGTCAATGTTACATGACTTTCTTACCCTTTTGTTAGTTCTCTTGAAGGTAAGCTACTTGTTTTTCCTATGGGTTGAAACTCACCATAGTCTTTCTTTCATGCTCTGTGATCTCATTCCTACATGGCATTCACAAATCCAATGAGTAGTATCTTTTTTTAGTCTGACTTGTGCACTGTCACCTAATGCCATATCCATGGTTCCTTGACACACTGTGATTAATATTTAAGGAAATCTTCCCAATTATAACAGCACTTGCTTTCTGTATACAAATGAAATACTTCTCATAGAGAATGTTTTCTTCATCATGAACTCTTTTGCAATAAACACCCATTTTTTAATTTGCTGTTCACCAGCCACTGGTGATTAGTAATGATGCTTTTTTTTAACTGATTTAATACAGTCAACACAGATTTGTACATAGACAGTTTTGCACATACCTGAATTATGTACTAGCTAGTTACATTCATAACGAAAAGACACCGTTAGATGGATTAATGGTCTTGAACCATGGTAAAGTTATAATTGGACTCATATTTCTTTGTTTTCCTCTTCACAAATGGTATCTGAAGACCAAAACCCACCGTCATTGGAGTGACATTTCGTAAAGCAAAATCTAATTTCTCAGTCCATGACAGATGTTGCAGTTTGTTTCTAAATGTAGCAATGAAGATATTTTTAAAAATTGCACAAGTTTATATTTATACATAATGTTATGGAAATAACACTGATTTTTCTTAAAACTTAATTGATGAGAGTAGGATATTTCTTTTCTTTCTGAATTGTGGAATGAGCATTACAGTGTTATATACCGTCTCCCTCCTTTCTAAATGTAGCAATGAAGATATTTTTAAAAATTGCACAAGTTTATATTTATACATAATGTTATGGAAATAACACTGATTTTTCTTAAAACTTAATTGATGAGAGTAGGATATTTCTTTTCTTTCTGAATTGTGTAATTTCACCATGGAATGAGCATTACAGTGTTATATACCATCTCCCTCCATCGGTACTTAGTCTGAAGGCTTATCTTACTTGAGCTATGGCCTGATTTTTTTTTCCTATCATTTGTTTTCAAAAGTGAGATGAGGAGATCGAAATGTATATATACTCCACTAAGAAACCTCCTATTAATAGCAGCTAACTTTTTGCACCTCTGGAGTCTAACAGTTTTTCAAAAGATGGTCACCTATGGCTCTACAGGTAGTCTGTTCAGAGCTGTAAGCAATTATGCCTTAAATATAAAAATAAATAGAAATATACCCGTTTTCTTTCATGAGTTTTGATTAATGCAAAGCCACCATCACCTTAGGTAATTGAAGGTGAATTGAATCTTAATTTTCATTTCAACACTTCATATTGCATCTGATGAGCTGGTCTAGATATTATAGTCTCGTGTTTAGGTATTATTTTCCAGTAACATACGTTAGTTGCACAAGCTCTCCCTTCCTCATAGGAATGAATATCTGGCATGGTAAGTTCTCTGTGTCAGCTATTGACAACGTAAATGGTTTCCTACCAATTCTAGTAGGTATCACTGAGTTTTTCAAGGGTTAAATGTTACTGCACACAGATAAAGTACCTTTGCTGTTTCTCTCATCTCATCTAAGAGTTTTGCTGGGACTTATTTTATATAAAAAAATAAATAAATCAGTAAATGTTAATTTGAGTGACATAGACCTGAAAGTGTGAAGCAGAAGTTGTGCTTCAGTGTTTCTCTGAAAAAGAAAGAAATTCTAAAAGCACAATGTCAGCTGCTCCATTGGGTGTATATCAGATAGCCCAAAGTCCTAATGGATTATGTGCAAAACTTTTGTAAGATTTTGACCTACCTTCTTGTCTTCTCTTACGGTTAGGTTGGTGATAAGAGAATATGTATACATGATAGAAATCCTGTAATTGAACTGTAGGCCTGAGTTGATTGAAAATGTGATTTATCAACATAAATGCTTCCATATGAGCTATGTCATTTGGTTTGGGATAAGTTCTACCCATCCAGAAAATAGATTGCTAACAGAATTTCCATACTCACATTCTCCAGTCTTGGACTGGAGAATGAGTCAAGTACTGTCAGATTTTAAATTTTGTTACTGAAAGTAAGTTTTTCTGGGACATTGGAAGCTGAAGTGAGTGCATTGCCATTTCTTGCCTGACGGGTTAAAATAGATTCAATTAAACTGCAATGCTTTCTGTGTAGGTCTGGTTCCAGGGTGTCTTTCGTGTAAATCATCTCAGCAAGTCATGAGATAAATCTCAAAATTGCCAAACATGTTGTTCATCATAATTTACAATTCCTAATCCCCAAAACCTTCATTGAAAGTTAAGACTTTGGGTGTTTATTGGTCTGTAAATCTTAGAAACAACTTGGTCTTAACGGATCAAAGTGACAATACCCTGTTCCTTTCATTTTGTGCTTGAATAATGGAGAAAACTTGCAACACTTGGTGGAGTTGCAAGTGAAGATGCTGGTGGATTTTTAGTGGCTTCTGGTTGACATTAGTGACTTATGTGTCCATTGCATTCAGTTTAATAGGCTGTAAACACTAGGAGCTGATGAGCAATTATATGTTTGCATCTTTCCTTTCCTATTTGGTGGCAGTAAGTTCCAGCAAAGGAGCAGGATGAAGTCCTATGGCTAGTAAATATTTTAGTTGTGCCATCAAGAATGATCAGAATGTGCCTGTGGGGCTCTGATAAGCCCTCGTAACAGGATTTTCAGTATAGCTTTCATTTGTCATGTTCTTTTCCTAAAAACATTAACCTTTGTGTTTTCTTTGTCGAGCCCTTAATATTTTAGAGAATGAGCGGAGATCATTGATGGCACAGAAGCTTCTACAAGCTCATTTGTCAACATATCATGTATTTAAGAATATCGCAAGTGACAATCGCCTCTTTTAAATAACAGAAATATTTTAAATGTGGCAACTAAAATGTTTCCAATTCATACAAAAAGCTATTATTTTCTGAAATCATTTTCCCAAGCAGTTATGGGGAAGCACAGAGAAGAGGTGGGGGGGGACACCCAAAACCAGTGTGTATATAGTGTAGAAGTATTATGGCCATACTGGGTGGCTTTTCATTTGGCACCTCCAACTCTTTCTTCCTTTGCCGTTCAGATATGCACAAACCTGCTTAGCCCCTTTCCCATTGTGTCTCAGAATATTCCTATCAGCCTGTGTTTTTTCATTGATGACGGTGTTTCATTAGTGTAGAGTTAATGAGGAAAGCTCACTATGCCAAGTGGAACTAAGTCATGGAACCTTACAGTTTTACCTTATAATCTTTGTCAAAGTCTATTATCTCTCTCCTAAGAAAAGGGGAATATATTTTGTTTTATTTTTTTCCTGGTGTTAAAAAATGGCTTAATTCAAATATACTATCAGTGTGTCCTGGTTTCGGCAGGGATAGAGTTAATTTCCTTCCTAGTAGCTGGTACAGTGCTGTGTTTTGGATTTAGGATGAGAACAATGTTGATAAGGCACCGATGTTTTAGTTGTTGCTAGGTAGTGCTTACACTAGCCAAGGACTTTTCAGTTTCCCATGCTCTACCGACTGAGAAGGCTGGAGGGGCACAAGAAGCTGGGAGGGGGCACAGCCAGGACAGCTGACCCAAACTGGCCAAAGGGACATTCCATACCATGTGATGTCATGCTCAGCATATAAAGCTGGGGGAAGAAGAAGGAGGAAGGGGGGGACGTTCGGAGTGATGGCGTTTGTCTTCCCAAGTAACCGTTACGCGTGATGGAGCCCTGCTTTCCTGGAGATGGCTGAACACCTGCCTGCCCATGGGAAGGAGTGAATGAATTCCTTGTTTTGCTTTGCTTGCGTGTGTGGCTTTTGCTTTACCTATTAAACTGTTTTTATCTCAACCCATGAGTTTTCTCACTTTTACCCTTCTGATTCTCTTCCCCATCCCACTGGGGGGAGTGAGCGAGCGGTTGCGTGGTGCTTAGTTGCTGGCTGAGGTTAAACCACAACACAGTGAGTCTATATTTTTATAGTTTGGGCATCTACATCAGTCTAGACAGAAGAAAAGAAAGGAGTGGTGAAAAGCAATGCTTTTTTTTCCTCAGCTATTACATCTGTTTCATAGGGTGATTCTCTTCAGAGTGGTGATGATTCTCCATTCTCAGACTCCATTACCTTGGAACAAACAACAAGTAATATCGGAGTCTCAAGTGGACGTGTCAGCCTATGGATGCAGTGGATGTTGCCAAAAATTACTATAAAGTTGTTTGCTCCTGATCCTAGAAATAATGGCACAGGTATTCAGCATTTTTCCCCTAATATACTATTTTGTATTTTATTCCATACATTATTTTACAGCACAGTATTAGCTATTCAGAACATTTATTGACAATTTAAACACTGTAATGCAGAAATAATGGGTTGGATCTATATTTTAAACTAGAGTGACAAGCTGTAGTTAGGTTAGTGCATGTAATCAGTATTCAGTATTGTTCTTTGGCATAAACTTCCCCCTCCATGTGGAAAGATGATTATATTAAATTGGAAATAGGTTCGTTATTTTACTTAATAGAGTGCTGCATTTATTGCCTTAGAAGCAATCATGTTTCATTTTGATATGAGTTAGTAGTATGTTTTGTGTATGTCCATGTATAGACATGTAGTTTTGTGCTGATAATTTGAAATTAAATTTAACATAATCATCATAGTATAATCCTTAAAGTCATAAGAAGTTTAATATGGAGTTCAACATAGAAGTTTTGACTTCTGTGTTGAAAAGAGAAATATGTGGTACACAGCTTCTCTTTTTTTTTTCTTTGAGATTAAAGTTGGATTATTATCCAGACAGTTTGAAAGGAACTTGGCTTCTCTAAATGTACTGCAGGACTTCAAATATTTTTTTGTTAGCAAACACTGCTGCTTAGCAATTAACATTGTTATTCATAGGAATGTGAAAAAATAAGGAGACTAACGATTAAAGCTAATTTTCGAAGAGATGTACTTGAACCTTTGATTTTTAAAAAACTAATTACATGAAAGAAAGAAATCTCGAAGTATTGCTAGAGTAAATATCTTGGCAAATTTTTTTTTACTCTTTTTTCAGGAATTATACTATGAACACCTGAACTAAAAAAAAAAACTATATAAGTCTTTCTACACATTTGTATAAAAAGGTTTGGATTCTAGGATTTTTTCTGGTTCCTATCTGTGTGACACTTGACTCAAAAAGCGCTTTATGAAAAAACTCTTGAGTAGAAGTAGCATCACTGTGTTTACAAAATGTAGTGTCTCAGATACATTTCTTGCTTAAGAACCTGCGAGTTTCAGATTAATAACTAATAATTTTTATTTGCTTTGACTATTGCAGAAGTTTGTGTTGTCAGTGAATTAGAAGATCTCAGTGCCTCAGTGGATATGCAGGATGTCTATACCAAAATCAAATGTAAAATAGAAAGCTTCAATATTGACCATTACAGAAACAGGTAATTCCTGGGAGTTATTCTGCTTTAATTTCAGGCTGAAAGAAGGCGGCAGGTGTTTGTTGGGTTTCTTTTTAAGATAATTGTTCAATTTCAGTGAAATTATTTTAACCTTTTAAGTAATAAAAATCAGAATTACATTTTCTCAGATTTATATCTGATTTCAAAGAAATACATAGAAATCATTACAAATCAGGAGAGCGTTTTTTCACACTTACTGCTCTGTTGGTCCATTAGACAAAAATAAGTCATTTTAGCTGAACTTTTGAATGGGAAATTCCTTAAATATTGCTTCATGATGTGTTAGCAGGTGCCAATATTTAATGATTTATGGTACCATACTCTTAGATATTAAAAAAGAAGTTTCTAAAAAATGGATCTGTTTCTTTTGCTGTGGCTTAGCAACACCGTAATGCAGGGAACTAAGCTGATTGTGTGACACGGCATAGTGTTGTACAGACACGCCTGAGTAAAATTTCAGTAGTTAATGTCAACCAGTATATCATAAATATTATGTACATTTAGGGTAGGTAGTTAGGCCTACTATATGTCTTGCAACTTTAGCAAGTCTTGTTAGTTGAGTAGTTTGCTGCACCAATGTGACTGCATTCATCTGGCACCCGGACGCATGGTTCTGTTAGAGAGGTTGCGCGTGCCACCTTCTAGCTTGTATTGGCCATGAGCGCGCTAGTCTTGATAAAATAAAAGAAAGCCTATGTACTGTTTGATCAACTGGGTTAGTGTTTGCCATTACAGATCAACAGATTCCATTATGGGAGACAGAAATTAAGAGAAAATAGAGTAGTTGTTGTGTTACTCCCTGACAGGAAAAAAAAAAGTTAAAAGCGTCAGAACATTTTTTGGCATTGAAAATGAATAAAATATTTAGGAGCACAAATCATTTTGACTTAGGAGCCAGTGTCTGCAAGGTCTTATTGGACACTTATTGTTCCCTATGTAAAATAGGAAGGAGACTTAGTATCATCTTAGTGAAATTACCAACATTTCTGAGACTTTTTTCCTGATCAGCTGTCTAAAAAAAAAAATTTGAATTCCTGTTCTTTTGCCTAAGTTACAAATGCAGTCATTGCTTGTACATATTGTAATATTTGATAATCAAAATTTGTACTTTATTTTTAAAAATCTTTTAAAATCAAGTCATGATGCTCTAAAATGCTTTGGAATCCCAGTAGCTAGGTGCTCTTAACAAGCTTCTTTGTCCACAGATTCTATGGAAAGCTTGAGAGAAGGTGCTTCACTCCCAGGAGTGTAATGCTCGATTAGAAATGTTTTCAGCTTCAGGGTGTTCTTGTTTGCGAAAGTTATACTGAGGCTTTAAAAAAAAAAAAAAAAAGTTATTCGGCTTGACAAAATTGTTACTGAAATGTTCTCATTTATACTTCATAATCTCTTCAGAGTACCTTTCTCTGTCTTTAAATCTCTTTGGACTAAAACCAAAAGCAGAGAATAGATAAGGTGAACATTCTGTTTTCCAGGCCAGGGGGAGACTGGCAGTCAGGACATTTTGAAGGAATATTTCTACAATGCAGAGAAAAGCTTTTGGTGAGATTTCTTTAGTAAACTAAGATGTTTACCGGAATAAATCTTCTTAAGCAACATATTTTTCTTTATTCTTATATATGTTAAAAAGAATGATTACAAGAACTGTAGAACAAAGCACATTTTAATAATTATGAGCTCATTTTTTCTAAATAATACTATGATTTTGTAACACGAGTACAGCTTTTCGTTCACAGTTTCTTGGTTCTTGTAATCATTCTCCTCCTCATTCTAATAAAGCTATCTGCTGAAAATCCAGGGGTAAGTCCCTTTTCTGTATGCAGGATTTTACTATACTTTTAGTCTCGTGTGTCTTGACCTCTTGCTATAGGTTGTCCTTTCACATAAAATTATACAAAGTTTCTTTTTTTTTTTTTACCAGTTTTTTTGCTTGATCTGATTGAATTTCAGCTTTTTAGGAAAAGGTATGGCATAGGCTTTATCTTGCAGTTACATAGAACCATGCAAGTTTAATGTAATTTTTTTTTTTGCTTATAGCAATTTTTTTTTTTTTCCTTTTTGTCTTGCCTTCTTCCATGCCTCGTTCATTACCTCAAGCCTTGGGGAAGATTCTTGGTCTCTGGGGCAATATGGAGGTGTGTTCCTTTCCTGTACTGACAAGCTGAACAGACGTACCTTGTTGGTTCGACCCATCAGCAAGCAGGACCCTTTCAGTAATTTCTCTGGCTTCTTTCCCTCTGTAAGAATCTTTTTTTAAAATTTTTACTACAGAACTTCCACTAATAAATGCTAGTTGTAGTAAAAAAAAAAAAAATCTCAAATGGCTGTCGTTTCTTGTAATCTAAATTTTTTTTTTGTACTGAGTATATTTATTGCTTATATTGATTATATTAGTTGTGTTATTTCCCTGTTATACTTCAGTAATAGTTTTCAGTCACTTTTTAGTTGATATAGGAGTGAGGGTTGATGATTCACAACCTCATGCATGACAGCAGTCCACCGAAGTCAATGGGTTTCATTTATATTAAAAGTGAGCACATACAGTAATGTTTGGAGACCAAATATGTAAAAGGCAGTACTGAACACTGCATTTTGTTCATTTAATTCTGATATCTACTTAGGGATTTAAGTACTTTGTATTACTGCAATATACCTTTATGCAACTTTTAAAAAATACTTCTTATAATTATGATAACGCAACAATTAACAATTTCATATTTGAGTCTTTCTTTTGAATGCTTGGAACATTACTTGCTGATTCAGAATATCTCAGTGTGAGATATTTAACCCCTTTTTTTCTTGCCTGTTTATCCTTGAAAGACTTTATATGTTACGACATTGGGCTTTTTATCTTCAAAAATGTATGGCTGTATGTTAGTGGAAGTTCTGTGTGGTCTGATTTATTTTCATCGTGAATATTGATTGGTAATACTTTCTCTTATCCTATTTGTTTCAGTTCTTATAGGGAATTAGCTTACTAATTCGTTTTAATTCACTTAATCATAAAAGCTTCCAGTTTTTCAGCATTTAAGCTATGTATCCTGTTTATTTAAGAGATGTTGTTATTCTATTAACAAGGTTTAAATTACATTAAAATGGTTTTAATCAAATTTAAGATGCTGAAAGAAGCAACTACTTGCAAAATGTAGTTGCTTTCATTTGTGCTCATGTGATTAAAGCTAATATTTAATCTAATAGAATAGATTAAACATCGAATTCTATCAAAATGTTTATTACACTGTTAAAATAATGGTTTTCCTAGTTATTGTTTTTTCATTTTTCACTCACAATGTATGACTGAAAGACTTTCAAAGATAATATGAAAACTGTACTATACATCTTCTGGGAGCTAAGCATCTAATTGTCATCTTTATCTAGGAAATCTGTCCTAAGTTAAGGAATCTGCTATTTCTAAAGTACAGTGCAATGTATTTTTATTTAAGTGATGTGCTTTAGCACCTGATACAGTTATTCTGTTTAAATACTCAGAGGTGATGAGGGCAAAACCAGCTCAATTCTTAGAGTATTTAGTTGACTATGGGTGGTTTATACACCCATGTTTAGATGGAGTGAAGCTATCTCAGCACCCAAGCGTTACTTTAGCACCTGTGGTATTTGCACATACAGAAGGAACAATGCAAGGGAGTAAGATCTACTTCTAAACTGTCTAAAGTGAAAGAGAAATCAAAATATATAACTGCGTGAAAAATTACCAGAAAACGTTTGGTAAATTTAGACCCTTGAATATAGGGGGGGGGTTGGCTGATTGGATTTGAATTTCATACAACATAAATAATCAGAAAAGAAAAAAATGTTCAGCAATTCATAGTTTTAGCTGCCACAATACAGTGAAGTGTGGACACACTGTGGACAAATTGTCCGTTCACAAAAATGAAAGAAATTTTTTCTACTATTCAGAGACAGTTGAAAGCTATTAGAAAATATAGAACCCTAAACATCCTAACTAACAGAGAATATGGCAATTGATGGATGTTGTATGTGTACATTTTTGCAACAGTTTGTTTGTTTTTTTTTTTTTTTCCTTGAAACAGACAACTGCAAAACTTTTAGATGGCTCACACCAACAACATGGATTTCTTTCTCTCACTTATACCAAAGCTGTGACAAAAAATGTCCGGCACAAACTGATATCAAGAAATGAGCGAAGAACATTCCATAAGCTCTCAGAAGGTCATACTGATGGTTCGCCTCACTTTCTTCATGAGATCCTTCTCTCTGCTCAGGCTTTTGACGTGGTCCTCTGTTTTCCATTGCTTAATGCTATTGCAAGCATTTTTCAAGCCAGGTTGCCAAGGAGTCAAAAGGAGAAAAGAAAATCACCAGGCCAACCTATGAGGACTCATGCTCTAACTTCCCGCAACTTGCCTCTGATTTATATCAACACTGGTGTAATAAGAGTCTTTTTTCCCCAAAATGAGGAAGATCACCATACTGCAGAAGGTACAGTATTTTATGTTAGAGAGTTTTGGCTGTTCAGTATTGTAGACAAATACTCTAACTTAGTTAAATCTCTGACCATTGCTAAGGCCTTCAGTTTTAAGGATCAGAGTTAGGAAACATCTAACATTCATGCTACTTCTCTGCAGATTTGCTGAAAATTTTTTTTTAGGTATTTATTTGATCTTTCCTTTCCCAGTACCTATAGAGTTTGCATTTAAAATGTGATTATTAAAAAAAAAAAAAAAGTCAAGAATTGTGGAAAGAGACCTTAACCCAATTCTGCAGTGGTGATTCTTGTGTCAGTACCAGTTCAGTCTTCCATAGATGCCTGTTCTAGCGATGGAGCGTAAGCAGGGAGCCTTAGCTCTTGTGGAAATTGGCACCTAAAAAAACATGCAATAGTGAAGCAGGTAGATATTCTAGTTTAGTTTGGAGAAAGTTATTAAAATGTATTGTGATTAATGCCTGACAGATGATATAGTTTGTCATTTATTTAATAAGTCTTAGTTGAAGCTATTCAGACTCCTTATGTAAGAGGCTTTCAGGTGTTTACAGAGGTGTGGGTAGTGTAAGCTGTTCTTTCAAACAACAGTAAGTAGCCATTTGATCTATGGATAATTCTTTCTGTGAGAAATTTTTTTCCCTTCATACATAAAATATATTTACATCCCTATTACAATCTTTATATATAAATAAAGAGATGCTGACGTTAAAATTACACCTTGTAACAGCTAGCAGGAACGCAATCATTTCCATTACCAACAATTCTTCCAGAGATTTAAAAAAAAAAAAAAAAAAAAAAAAAAGTATTTTACTGATATCAGGGTATGTTTACATAATTCCGGGGGG